CTTGTAAATCTTCGTCGTTGTCCAACAGTGCTGCTGCACTTACGGGCATGCATCTGGCGCTGTCGGAGGCGGCTGACCCTCTGCTTCCCACATCAATCAAGGTAGATACTTCGGTCGTGCTAACCACTGAACTGGCGGTCGCTACCATTCCGACTTACTACCCTCATGTCGTTTGCTGCGGTGAAGGAGTTAAGCGCAGGCTGCACTGCCTTCGTTACTTCGACAACTTTGGCGGGGGCGGCAGCGGCAGCGGGAGTGGCAGCGGAGTCATGTGCCTGAAGGCGATGAGGCACAACGGAGTTTCGAAACAGGCGCTGTTGAACGACCCGAAAAGGATCTGTGCTTCGAAGATTAACAGTGAACATTTATGTGACAGTAGCGCAATGTCGAAATTTCGCCCGGACGAAACGTACGGTTCGAACGGTTCTTCGAACCTGACCTCCAGCTGGTCCTTCCGAGGTCGGTATAATTAACACATTGTTTTTTTTGCATTAATTTTTGCAAGTTTGCTTTCTGATAAGTTGCACACCGTTCTTCTAAACGAAGACTGTGTTCGTGTGACCTCTTCCTCAAGAAGATTGCTGTAAACGTTTGAAACGGTCCATCTTCTCATTAAATTTGTGCTTGCTGGTGCGTTCACACGTTTAACGATCGGATAATTTAGAAGAATACGAAAACGTCACTTTGATGTATGCGAAACACGAAAAAATTCCCATGAAAGACTTTAACTCTGAGGTCAGAGCTACGATGGACATCGACCACCTTCTGAACAAAGCCGTGTTGCTGCTAAACCTGCCGGAAACCAGTTTGGAAGAAATATTTAACAAGTAATTAATTTCAATTTTTAAAAATTATTTAAAGGTTGTCCGTTTCTTGCTTCTAATGGCAATTTGCATTCGACTCACATGAGAGACGACAGAATAACATGAGTTCCACTGATCAAGAAACAGCAGAACCCTGATAATGCTCGTTTGTGTTTTATCTCTTAAGGGAAGTGCTCACTGTCAATGCCATCCACCATCAAAAGTTAAGCGATGGATGCCGATCAGCGCAACTGAGACTCACCTAGCATCGTCCAGATTAAATCAAATAATAACAGAACAAGGGCGCTGCCGATCGGACACTTCATCCACTCTGGAGAATAAAATCTAAGCTGCAATGTGGCAGGGGTCATGAGAATCAGATCATTCAGCACATTATTTCTCAATGTTCACTGTGAAAGCTCAATGGCAACATGAATGATGTCCAGAATGCCGTAGCAGGGCCATTCATTGGCTAAGAAATTTTGACATTCACCTCTAAAGGTGCCAGTCACATGCCACTTGCCGTAAGACAGAAGGAACATAATTGAGATATTGATCCTACGTTCTCAAGCTGCAGTTGTTTTCTTAGTGCAACATGTACAGCATGTGCCATGCTGATTGCGGTGGACGGTAAGAATTCTTAACGAGACGTCAAATAGGACACTAAGCATTGCACTATTCTGGGCTAACGGTATTAACATCGGATACTTTAATGGTCTTTCTTTGATTTCCCGTAATCGCTTGAATAGCTGATCACTCGGGAAAGATCATGACTGAAGAACCTCTGTAAATCATGAATGTGACAATTGCAGGGATGTATCGATTAAGATCTTATTTTTAAAATGTTTCTTTTAGTTATATCTAAAATTTATAATTACCTTAAAATATGGCATATTCAGAAACTAAGTTGAAAATTGCAAAATTCACTTAGGGGGTACGGTTACATGACCAGTTTACAATTACATGTTCTTAAAAGTTTCGATTCATGCTCGATCCGTCAGTGGGAAGCGGCATCAAACAAAAATTAATGCTACTGGTATCGGATCAAGTGTCATTTGAAGCGTTGCAGAATAACTATGCAACTTCACCCCTAAATGATGTTTGTAATTTTGAATTTTATTTATTAACCGATTTTATTAAAGCATTTATTCACTCTGCACTGAAAAAATATCGTAAGACAGTTTACTTATGCACAAGACAAAGCATATTGTTGTTAGTCTACCGACCGACCAATATCAACGTTTCGGCCCGTGTTTGACCGGCTTTCTTTAAGGTGGTTGGTCGTCCGCAGCAGTTGATAGTTTTGGATCCTGATGACCTGTCGTCACCAGACTAACGCACTATCTTTTTCGTTGTTTATAAGTAAAACGTGTTGTACGGTACTTTTCAGTAAGACCACCAACGCACCAACGAATTACTTCATTCGCTCTGTAGACAAAATGGACCATCCCTTAGTCGAATCCTCTGTTCAGATGATAAAGATACAACGAAAAGAATTCACAATATTTATTTTGAACGTTAATATCAATGTGTTAGAAAGGAGGTGCCGTGAAATAGTTGACGTCAAGATTCAAGAAGAGCAGTGTGGCTTCCGGC